CTAAACCCCTAAACCCTAAGCCTCCGGCAGTCCCAGGTTTGACCGCCGCACAAAAGCTGCTGCTCTCGAGGCTAGTCCTTTCCCGACGCCCTCAACCCGGAATCCTTAAAGTTAAGTTTAGGGTTTAGAAGGTTTTGGGTTTCGGGTTTGGGGCCGGGTTTAGGTCCAAAAGGCCCAATAATAACTTGATACTTGGGTTTAGGAAAGTAGTTATGCAGCATAACCTTTCGGAGTGTATAAGATTATGAGGTACTTGAAGCCTTCGGGCTAACCCTAACGAGAGGACTCGGTTGTGCTTCGTTGGTTTTTGCATGTCTTTCCTACCAGCTTTTTGTGTTAATAAAGTCGTCCATGCGGGATCAGGTCGACTCAGCCGCAGCTATTCTTCGTGTTGGTAACCTACTTCTAATCGCTTTTGTCGCGGAGCCTTTGAATATTAATTAGAGTAGGGTTTTGGGGTTCAAATTTTTGTAGTTTTTCATCAGGAGCTCATACGAATGCTAGCTATTCGGGTTTCTGTTGTAGGAATGAAGACTGTGTTGCCAGGCAAAAGGAGGCGAAGGGCGGCAGCGCGCCGCCTTCCTCCTCAGAGGAGCCACTGACACGCAGACCTCCGGATTACTACAAGGGCCTTCAGACTCAGAGTCAATATAGAAGCCTAAATAATTTCCAATAGTATGTTGGGGGCTCCGTATTATAAATATAGTATTATATATATATATATACATACCCCAAAGCCCTATTCGAATCATTAGGCCCCGATATCACGGTGTCAGGGTCTTTATAGGTAGCATTAGAGAGACCCCTCCAAGGAGACCCTTCTTTCCCCTACTTCTGGCTCTCTAAAAAACACTTTATCGAGAGGGTCTATATTTACAAGGGTCCCCCTAATCCTACGGTTGATGATATAAATCCTGCATTGCCTTAAGGACCCTAAACTATGGGAATTACGGCAGATTCCGATTTCTGGGTAATGCAGGATTTATATCATCAACCGTACCTCCTAAAGGTTCAGGGTACCCTTCAACTCTAAACCCTAACCCCTAGGCACCCGACTCCAAACATCAGTGCTAGACTGCTAGACTCTTATGGAACCCTAAGGCCTAAGCCTGGGTTTAGGGCTTAGGGTTTAGGGTTTAGGGTTTAGGGTTTAGGGTTTAGGAAACCCAAGGGAGCCTTATGGATCCCTTGTAGAACCCGTTTCCGGCGCCAGGAGATCGCAAGACAGCTTGAAAAGATCACCGAGCTCCAGGGCAAGCTGGATAAGCACAAAGCCTCCTTGAAAGACCAGGTGCCGGCAAGGTTAAGGGCTTAAGGGCTTTAGGGTTTAGCGTTTAGGGCGTCGAGGGGTTAAGGGCTTTACGGTTTCGGATTTAGCGGTTTAGGGCTTGAAGGCTTAGAGGCTTAGGGCTTAGGGGTTAAGGGCTTTAGGGTTCGGGTTTTTGGGTTCAGGGTTTAGGCCTAAACCCTAAACCCTAAACCCTAAACCCTAAACCCTAAACCCTAAACCGGTTTAGGGGGCTCCTAAGGTTCCTGGGCACTGTGGTTTAAACTCGGTCATAGCTATGGGTCTAGTCAGGCCCAAAGTGTGCCGAACCCAAAACCCTAACCCCTAAACCCTAAACCCTAAACCCCTAAACCCTAAACCCTAAACCCTAAACCCTAAACCCTAAACCCTAAACCCCTAAACCCCTGAGCGGAAGGACCGGCATCTGATCTAACGTAACATAGAATATTACTGTTGGGGTTCAGGGTTTAGGATTTAGGATTTAGGGTTTGGGGTATTGTAGCAATACTATAAATGAGCCCCAAAACCCTATTCTAATTATGTAGGCCCCCACATTAGGGTTCGGACGGGTGAATAACAACCCTTCCTTTCGGGCTCCCTTTACGGGTCTCTTCAAGGGTTTTATGGGGCGTTATCAGAGGAAAAGACAACTAGGAAGAATATTCCCTTCTAGGTTTAGGGTTCGGTCAAGGGTCCCTTTTTCAAAAGACTCTATCAGAGGGCCCCCTCCCCCCCGCACCAGCTGTTACTGTTTTCTTGCCGGTGTTGACGGGCGCTGCAATATGTCGTCTTCGGAGTAAGGAGTGTCCGTCACATTGGTAGCAAGATTGAGTATGAGCAGCAGTGGCTTTCTGACCCGCATTCAGCAAATAGGGGAGTCCTTTGAAGTAGGGTCCCACAAATAGTACGGCACCCTTTTCAAAAGGACCCTAACAGGGACTCTAATTTAGAGAACTACCCAAATACGAAACCCTAAAACTGAACCCTAAACCCTAAACCCTAAGCCCTAAACCCTAAACCCTAAACCCTAAACCCTAAACCCTAAACCCTAAACCCTAAACCCAATACGAAACCCTAAAGCTGAAGCGCAAAGTCTGGATCCCAAAATCGGATTTAGGGGTCTGATTATGGGGTTGTGAGCTCCTTTATACTTAAATGTTAAGAAGGAGCCCCAAGGAATACTACAGGTAATTGTTTAGGCTTCTATGTTGCACCAGAACCCGACACTGCAAGACAGGAACTTGGCCCTGAACCAAACCCTATAAACCCTAAACCAAAACCCTAAAACCCTAAACCCTAAGCCCCAAACCCTAAACCCTGAAACCCTAAACCCTAATCCCAAA